GGATCTTGGCTCACTGCAAGCTCCGCCTCCCGGGTTTATGCCATTTTCCTGCCTCAGCCTCCCGAGTAGCTGGGACTACAGGCGCCCACCACCTTGCCTGGCTAGTTTTTTTGTATTTTTTAGTAGAGACGGGGTTTCATCGTGTTAGCCAGGATGGTCTCGATCTCCTGACCTCGTAATCCGCCCGTCTTGGCCTCCCAAAGTGCTGGGATTATAGGTTTGAGCCACCGCGCCCGGCCCATACCTAGTTTTAAATGTAGCCTGTCAGTTCTATGAACTTTGACGGAGTAATACTTTAATGTTATACTTTCTATAATAAGTATACCTTTTTTTGGTGGCTGGCTGCTTTATGTTTGTTTGAAGATACTCTTTTTTGTTTGTTTGTTTTTTTGAGACCAAGTCTCGCTTTGTTGCCCAGGGTGGAATGCAGTGGTGCGATCTCAGCTCACTACAACCTCAGCCATTTGGGTTCAAGTGATTCTCCTGCCTCAGCCTCCCGAGTAGCTAGGATTACAGGTGTTGCCACCACACCTGACTAATTTTTGTATTTTTAGTAGAGATAGGGTTTCAACATGTTGGCCAGGTTGGTCTCAAACTTCTGACCTCAAGTGATCCGCCCACCTTGACCTACCAAAGTGCTGGGATTCCATCACACCCGGCTGTTTAAAGATACTGTTGATCTCCTTTGTCTAAGACAGTTTTTTTCTAGACATTGATTGTATAGTAAAAAAATTTTAAAACAATTTGATAATCTATAATTTATGTTGTTTTAGTGAAACCATTTGAAAAGATGACTCTTGCACAGCTGAAGGAAGCTGAAGATGAATTTGATGAAGAAGATATGCAAGCTATTGAAACATACAGGTACAGTGATTCGTTTGGGTTAATTATAAATTTTTGAATGAAGTATTATAAGAATAAAACTAAAAAGATTTGTCTTGTCAGATAGGTTTTACAAAGAACAAAACTAATTTTTAAGTAACATTTTGAAACTCCCTTTATGTAAGGTGGAATTTTATTACATCATTACTTTATTTTTTCTTAATATTTTGCCTTTGATTGAATAGAAAATTATCCAATAATGTACAATATAACTTCATCAAGCTATGTATGATTAAAGTGGAATATAGCAATAAGAGGCCAATAAAAAGATGGCCATGATTTTCCTTCTAGCATGATGCCTGTCAAAGGCAACTATCATTTCATGAGTAATTAATTACTACTCTTAAACAAATTATTTTAGAAATTAGAACAGGGTCATACATTTCCCAACTTACTTCACAACTAAAATAAGCTGGGAAATGTATGAACCTGTTCTAAGTTCTAAAATAATTTTTACAAGACCAGTGTTATCCTGATACTAAAACCAGAGAAAGATATCACTAAAACAGAGTACTACAAATATCCTTCATGACTGTAAACACAAAATCTTTAAGGAAATATTAGCAAATTAAGTCCAGCAATTTAAGGAAATAATAAATCTTGATCAAGTGGTATTGGTTGCAGGAATGCAAGGTCATTTTAACAACAACAACAAAAAAACCAGTGAATTGGGACTAGACACAGTGGCTCATGCCTGTAATCTCTGACTTTGGGAGGCTATGGTGGGAAGATTGCTTGAGGCTAAGAGTTACAGACCAGCCTGGGCAACATAGTAAGACCCTGTCTCTACAAAACAAAAATAAAAACCAAAACCCACCAGTGAATGGAGTTAGAACAGCAATACTCCGGGAGCAATGAGCAGATATAGCAATCAGATCTTTCTCAGGCAGGGTGCAGTGGCTCACGCCTGTAATCCAGGCACTTTGGGAGGCCGAGGTGGGTGGATCACCTGAGGTCAGGAGTTTCAAACCAGTCTGGCCAACATGATGAAACCCGTGTCTACTAAAAATACAGAATTAGCCAGGCATTGTGACACATGCCTGTAATCCCAGCTACTTGAGAAGCTGAGGCAGGAGAATCACTTGAACCTGGGAGGTGGAGGTAGCAGTGAGCCGAGATCGTGCCATTGCACTCCATCCAGCCTGGGCAACAAGAGCGAAACTCCATCTCAAACAAACAAACAAACAAAAACAAATAAGTACTATTCTCTAATAACAGGAATCAGTGCTCCTTAGTGAACTG